AAAAAATCTCCCCTCACCGTTCATCACCAGCCCCAGAGGGAATGCCTTCCAGCGTGCTCCCTAACTTGCTCATACAGGTGGGTGTCTATAACGTTACAAACAAAATTGTTAGGGGTGCAATTGATCGATTTAAACATTATCGGCTATCCCAGCTAAACGTTAGCAAATCGACGAAAACGGTTACTTGATCCTGCAAGAACTTGTTGATCAGTTCCTCGGTTAACCGAATGGTTTCTTAATTTCTTGATCATTCCTATTCGTTCACATTTTATTAATAAGATCAATGATGATTAGATTGATGATCATAATGATAATAAAGAGTATATGTTCTTTGCACTTTATTGCTGTTAAGTTTCTAAAGTTCGAATCTACCTCTACAATAATATCATATCCAGTAACGACCTCACCTTCTGTTTCCAAGCAGACTTAGGCTATTTAATATCTTGTCAGGATGTTTTATCATAATTGTCACCCCTTCCCTTCCCGTTCCCCTCCCCTCTCCACAACGCCCCCCTCCCCCTCCTCACCCCCTTCGCCCTTTTCTCATTTTTAATTAATCTTATATCCAGACCTTGGTGGAATTGTGCGAAGCGAACCCAAGCCTTTACGAAACCAACCAAGACTGTGCCCAGGTGGTAGACACGTGCTTGGCCTACTTCCCAGAAAATGAAGGGTGTAAGCTCTACGTCAGGGAGTGGTAGGTCTACTGTACTACTGGTGTTTTCTGTTTGTCTTGAGGGGCATAGGGAGGGAGAACAGATAGACAGACCAAAAGACAGACAAGCAGACAGACAGATAAACTGGCAGACGGAGACAAGGACAAAGAGACACTGAGAGAGAGAAAGGGGAGAGAGAGAGAGAGAGAAAGGGGAGAGAGAGAGAGAGAGAGAGAGAGTGTGTGTGTGTGTGTGTGTGTGGGAGGAGGGAGTAGCTCGGTATTCATGCTGGGGTGTTGTATCCCTATTAGCCTGGGTCGGAAGCCTACCTCAAAAAATGATCTAAACTGTGTCGATGGCGGCGTAGAAACATATACATCGTTTGTTACCTTCATGTCTATGTTGAAGTCCGAAAAGTGTGTGGTTTCTTCTAAAAAGTGAAGCAAGGTTCGGAACACTTAGAATTATATAATTCAGTATGTAAAGAAGAAGAAGAAGAAGAAGAAGAAGAAGAAGAAGAAGAAGAAGAAGAAGAAGAGTGAATCTTATTCCTAATAATATATTATATTCTAGCACATTTGCAGCATCTAAATGATCCATACGGTTTATATGCTGGTGTACTGATATGCTCATATTATTATTTCCCCTCCACCACCCACACCCACTAACCTCTGGCGATGCGGTATCGTCCAGTGGCGCCCGGAAGTACACGGAATGTGTCCAGAACCTGACCTTTGACCTCTGCAAGAACACCAATGACAGGGCCGAGGTCAACTTGGAATCCCTGAGGATCAGCAATCAGATGAGAGACGGCTGTAAAGGTAAAGTCCGGGGAGGGCATCGCTATAATAATATTATGATATAATTTTATGTCCAAATCGGTTGTGGTGGTTTTTTACTTGATCTTTTTCAGTTACGTTTCAGTAAGAGTTTTACGGCACTTGAAACACATAATTATAGGCCATATAAGTGCAGAAGATTAGGTGTGTTACTAGAGAGTGATTTACAAATTAAAGAATGAGGAGAGATACGGACGATAGTTGTTTGGTAGGAAAGAAGGAGCAAACATATCGGAGCATTTGGCAACTACTCTTAAGTTTATTTTAAAACGCTCGAGGACAATCGACACAAATTGTATCATTGGGAAAGGGGGGTAAAGGTAACAGCAATAGCAACAGTAGTATCAGCAGCAGCAGCAGCAGCAACAGCAACAGCAACAACGACAATTACTATGATAATAATTATAACAATAATTACAACACAGCAATAACAACAATAATAATATCAATAACAATAACAGCCTCAACAGCAACAACAACAACAAC